TCAAAGGCTTTTCTTCTAGTTATTTCATGTAAGGTTCACTTTGCAGGGTAACTCCACTTTGTTAAGCAATGACTTGGCATACATTGTTGCTGCACAAACTATCTTGTAATTACAAAAATAATTTTTTCCCATTTTAAATGTAGACAGCTACAATTGTCGAAAGCTTGCCAATATGTTAGACTGATTACACAATTTCTGTACAGTCTAGTTTGGATTTACCAAAATCGTGACTTCAAAACTAATTAGTCCATTAAATATGCATCCATTTATTAATAGCTGTCGGTCGATCTAAAGTAAACTCAACAATCCGATTGTAATATATGATGGGTTTAAACCTGACCGAACAGTATATGTGTCAAAATAATCACATTTACTGCTAATATGATTGGCTAACTGCTTTTCTTGTTCATTTTTTAGTGCTGGAAAAGACACGCCGTCAGCACATAGGACGTAAGTAAAGTGCTGACGTTCTTTTATTGGACAGTAACCATTGTGACTATGCAATAATATCCTTGTATGTAATGGACACACAGAGGATTTTTAACAAAAATGGAGTTATACTTCAAACGAAACAAGTCAGAGCTACATGGCTCTATAGGAGAATTTTGACATGGGAGTCGGTAAGGAATCAGTCAGAGCTACATACCCCTCTATGAAGCTTCAATTGATTGACATTTCAGGCTCAGTGTTAGAAGTCAAACCCGGGGTGCAGTAAAATCATGTTTTGTATGTCACTGTTGTTAAAGCGGAGCTCCACCCAAAAAGGGGAAGTTCCGCTTTAAGGACTGCTCCCCCGCTCCCCATTAAGGATTGGCACCTTTGGGGGGGAAGCGGGTACCTGAATTTGACAGGTACCCGCTCCCACTTCCGGTCTGATCGCCTAGGCCAGGGGTAGGCAACCTCTAGCTGTTGTGGAACTACATTTCCCATGAGGCATTGCAAAGATTAAAAAACTGACAGTTACAGCTATGACTTGCAGAGGCATGATAGAACTTGTAGTCCTGCGGCTCTCAGGTTGCCTACCCTTGGCCTAGGTGATCGGAAGCAGAAGTTGTCCTCCCTCCCTGTAGTCTGTTGGGACACGTGACAGGTCCCAGAAGACTACAGGACCATTCGTGAAGCGCAGCAAGCTATCACAGCTGGCCTCTTGGAATACAGGATGGCCGGTGAAATGGGCTGCAGGGGACACACCGAGGGACAGGTAAGTGGCTGTTTGTTAAATGTCAGCAGCTACAGATTTTGTAGCTGCGGACTTATTTTTTTGGCAGCGTGAGTGGAACTCCTCTTTAATTGCCCTCCTTTGTCAGAGCTGTAAATCCTCTAGTATTTGATTCTGTGTAAGTGCATCAGTCCATATCAGTCCACCATGCCTCTTGCCTAGACAAGCAAATGTAGCCGGATGACACTGCTGGAGGAATGTTGGACCGATGCAGAAGGACCGCTGCATTCACAATGGATTACTGCATTAGTATGGTTTTTGGCTGGGAACCAGCGGGTGTTAAATGGAAAATGTATGATTTTACTTAATGCCGATTGAATTTCAAGCACTGCAGCCGAGACTTCAGTTGGGTTTTGAACAGGTTCTGGTCCACTAGAATGAATATGCTGATTCAGAATTCAGCTTCCATGGGAGGTTTCTCCCTTTGTAATCCCTTTAACTACCCATTAAAAGTCTGTTTCACTTTTTTTATGTCTAACCTTGCAGCTAAAGTAGAAATTGCTCCTTTATGAAAAAGTAATGTTTGCTTCCACACTGAAATTTTTTTTTTTTTGTGAAAAACATTTGCTTTGATCTGCATACTTCCTAATCGGGCTGCTAGTTGCGGTAAACCTTTCCTGCCAATCAGAATTCAGTTTATTGTAAGCAGCTCAGCGAATTGCTGATTTTCCTTGGCTGCTGTAACTTGCAATATTGATAAACCAATGAAGAGAAATACAGTGCAATAAAGGGAACCAATCTTAATTCTTTAGTAGAGTACTATTATAAATGGACCCGATTGGTCAGTTGAAGTTGCTGCTGCTTGCAGTAGGTTATTACATAAGACAAATAAGTAAAAGCCAGGAAAAAATTGTATGAAAAAAAATATTCACTTTAAAATGCTAATATTGGCAAGGCAATAGAGATGTACTAATTTTATAATGGAGCAAGATATATTTTAGCTTTATGAACACTTTTCAGATGGCGTACTGACCTGTAGACCACTGTTCTGTCTCACAGGGGTGACACACAAAATGTGTGGTGGTGTGTAGTAAAACAATTAAAATAAAACTGCACTCGCATGACACACATTGTCTTGTCCTTTCTTGATGACTTATGTCTGAACTATCGTTCTGTCTACTTACAATCATAGGTGCAAGTGGTTACTTACCTGAGAAACCAGAGAAGTTCTAGTGGTCCCAGGCTGCTGGCATTAGTGCAGGTCAAATTCAGTCCGCCATTGCTCACTATTCAAGGAACTCCTTGAATTATCGAAGAACCCTGATCGAGAAAGGCTGCTCTAGGCAGAAACTTGATTACCAAGATGTTCTGACAGCTCAGGTGTTTCCCGGCTAGCATTAGCTCAGTTTTTTTAAAATTGCCCTTTCTGTAGACCACAAGTCCCAGGGCTTTTTTTTCCCAGCTCGAACATGGTGGAACTCCATTCTACTACCTCTGGCTCCAACCCTCTCCTCTCAACAATGTCATTTGTAAACACAGAAGCCTTCTGTGTTTACAAGGACAGCTCTCCTCCACTCTCAAAGGACGCATTCTCGACGGGGAAAGATATTGCCCAGTGATTTCCCTGTGTGAGAATGAGAGAAGCGGACCCACCAACACTGCTCCGGTCTTAGAGCCAGGCCTGGATGGTGAGATGCTAGATACCTTTTTATTTTTTGGAGGGGGAGGGAGGATGATGAGGGCAATGGAGGGAGATATGTGCAGAGGTGAGGGATGGGGGAAAGTGGTGCAGAGGAGGGGTGGATGTGAGATGTGGACAGCCTGCAGGGTTAAGCTCTTGTTCACACTCTGTAAATAACACACCCCCCAACTCAAGATTTCAGGAGTACGCGGCCTGCAGAGTTCAAGAGTACGACGCGGCCTGCAGAGTTCAAGAGTACGCGGCCTGCAGAGTTCAAGAGTACGCGGCCTGCAGAGTGCAAGAGTACGCGGCCTGCAGAGTGCAAGAGTACGCGGCCTGCAGAGTGCAAGAGTACGCGGCCTGCAGAGTGCAAGAGTACGCGGCCTGCAGAGTGCAAGAGTACGCGGCCTGCAGAGTGCAAGAGTACGCGGCCTGCAGAGTGCAAGAGTACGCGGCCTGCAGAGTGCAAGAGTACGCGGCCTGCAGAGTGCAAGAGTACGCGGCCTGCAAAGTGCACTCTGCATGCGTACTCCTATAAATAACACACCCCCCAACTCAAGATTTCAGGAGTATGCGGCCTGCAAAGTTCAAGAGTACGCGGCCTGCAAAGTTCAAGAGTACGCGGCCTGCAAACAAGAGTACGCGGCCTGCAAAGTTCAAGAGTACGCGGCCTGCAAAGTTCAAGAGTACGCGGCCTGCAAAGTTCCTGAGAGTGCAAAGTTCAAGAGTACGCGGCCTGAAGAGTGCAAAGTTCAAGAACGCGGCCTGAAGAGTGCAAAGTTCAAGAGTACGCGGCCTGCAGAGTGCGCTCTGCAGGCCGCGTACTCCTGAACTCCGCACTCTGTATGCCGCGTACTCCTGTATGCACTCCTGACCATAGTCTTACAGATACAACCGGCCCTTTGAAATTTTGTTTTTAACAATAGATAGGGGTAAGATAGTCAGGATGGGTGGGGGTTATTTGGCTAGACTTCTTTTGATGTGTTTAGTGATTAAGTCAAATGCAGAAATGACTTGATCACTAAAAGATGAACTTAGTTCAGTTGCTTTAGGTACTCAGTGGCCTATTAAATGTGTTCCACATTTGGAAGTTGGTATATTAAATCTCAGCTCTGGGCGAAGATAAACCTTCCCTCACCCATTTTACATGAAAATGTAAAACCCCTTTTTTTACTCACTTAAAGCCATGTGTCCCTCACTCACGCCTCATCTGGGATCTGAGATCAGTCATCCAGCACTGTGGTCTATGCCCAAGCCAACTGGTCCCCTTGTTATAATGTCATCACGCCATCACAGTCTTCAGGACCCAAGAGCCCTCTCTTGATAGATGGTCAATAGGCAGCAATGTTGGCACCCTGAAAAGGACCATTTTACTCTGCAGGGAGGAAGAGAAAACTTAAAGACCCTGAGCTTCACATGACTATGGATTTCAAGTAACAAAAAGGAGATTTTATATTGTGATTATTTTTTTTTTCAAAACGAACATGGTGATAATTGATGTCCAGAGATATTCTTTAACTGACACACACACCAAACAATTGGGCAATTTCAAATTCCTTCAGTTCATCAGTTTAATGGACAGAATTGCACATATTCCTGACAGAGGCTTCCATAACAACCAGTTTTTTTTTTTTAAACCAGTGCTCAGTTACACAACATACGATTTATTTAAGTCCAAACAAAGGAGCCAACTTCTACCCTTACAGGGTTCATGAGTTGAAGGTCTCCACTTGGTCCATGAAGGGAAGAGAATATTGGGTATGCCCATTTTAAAAGGCATTTCATTTTGTAAGGGGACAAGTAAAGGAGATGTAACTGATGTTACTTTGAATGCAGCAATAAAGTCTCAGACTTTTAATTTACCAATAGCAGTAGATATCCATTTATCTATTCAGGTCCAGATCACTTCTTGTGTTTTCTACAAGGTTACGGCGGATCAGGAACTGGTTATATTGGGGTGTGTTGGTTCTCTGTTGGGTGATGGATTATATACTGTGCTATTTTTTGCAAGTCCTTGTATTATCCTTATTAAACCACCATTGGAGTTATGCAATTAGCCGAAGAAAAGTAACTTGGCAAGACGGTATCATGAGATAAACAGGGCTTCTCCTATGGTGGTCAAGACATAATGCATTGATGGTGAACTATGTTTGGAAGACCTCAGCTGGGGCTTCCAGCAGGACTTGTCTCACTGCTATTACTGACAAGGCATTCATTGGATTTCAAGCTTGGCAGAGATTTACAGCTGGGGATGGATGCCAGGGCCGCACAAACCCAGCATGGAAGGGGTTGGGTCCTTACCTGTGGAGTGGAAAAAAAAAGTGTAAAAAATACGACAAGCCAAAATATACGGTGTACATAGTTTATAGATATACAGTGAAGGAAATAAGTATTTGATCCCCTGCTGATTTTGAATGTTTGCCCACTCACAAAGAAATGATCAGTCTAAAAATCAAATGGTAGGTGTATTGTAACACAGACAGAATAGCAACAAAAAATTCAAAAGAAATGCATGTCTAACAAATGATGCATTGATTTGCATGTTCATGAGGGAAATAAGTATTTGATCCCCTTCATAAAACATGACTTAGTACTTGGTGGCAAATCCCTTGTTGGCAATCACAGAGGTCAGACGTTTCCTGTAGTTGGCCACCAGGTTTGCACACATCTTGGGAGGGATTTTCGCCCACTCCTCTTGGCAGATCCTGTCCAAGTTATTAAGGTTTGGTGGCTGACGTTTGGCAACTCGAACTTTCAGCTCCCTCTACAGATTTTCAATTGGATTAAGGTCTGGAGATTGGCTAGGCCACTCCAGGACCTTAATGTGCTTCTTCTTGAGCCACTTCTTTGTTGCCTTGGCCGTGTCTTTTGGGTCATTGTCATGCTGGAACACCCATCCATGACCCATTTTCAATGCCCTGGCTGAGGGAAGAAGGTTCTCACCCAAGATTTGATGGTACATTGCCCTGTTCATTGTCCCTTTGATGCAGTGCAGTTTTCCTGTCCCCTTAACAGAAAAACACCCCCAAAGCAGAATGTTTTCACCACCATGTTTGACAGTTTGGGGTGATAGGTAGCATTCCTCCTCTTCACGGCGAGTTGAGGCCAAGAGCTCGATTTTGGTCTCATCTGACCACAACACTTTCAACCAGTCCTCCTCAGATGTTCAGTGGCAATCTTCAGACAGACCTAGACATGTGCTTTCTTGAGCAGAGGGACCTTGTGGGCACTGCAGGATTTCAATCCTTGTCGGCGTAGTGCGTTACCAATTGTTTTCTTGGTGACTGTGGCCCCGGCTACCTGGAGATCATTGACAAGATCCTCATGTGTAGTACTGGGATGATTCCTCACTGTTCTTATGATCATTGACACTCCACGAGGTGAGATCTTGCATGGTGCACCAGACCTAGGGAGACTGACACTTGTTTTGTGTTTCTTCCATTTGCAAATAATTGCACCAACTGTTGTCACCTTCTCACCAAGCTGCTTGGAGATAGTTTGGTAGCCCAGTCCAGTCTAGGTCTACAATCTTGTCCCTGACATCCTTGGACAGCTCTTTGGTCTTTGCCATGGTGGAGAGTTTGGAATCTGATTGTTTGATTGCTCCTGTGGACAGGTGTCTTTTATACAGGTATCAAAATGAGATTAGCAGCACTCCCTTTTAAGAGACTGCTTCTAATCTCAGCTTGTTACCTGTATGATAGACACCTGTAGCCAGAAATCCTGCTGAATGATAGGGGATCAAATACTTATTTCCCTCATGAACATGCAAATCAGTGCAAAATTTGTTAGACATGCATTTCTTTTGAAAATTTTGTTGCTATTCTGTCTCTGTGTTACAATACACCGAACATTTGATTTTTAGACTGATCATTTCTTTGTGAGTGGGCAAACATTCAAAATCAGCCGGGGATCAAATACTTATTTCCTTCACTGTAGCTTACCCAAACTGCAGGTATATTTGTGAAGACTTGCTAAGAGTTTTACGAGCAATGTAAAGAGGCATGGTTTTAACAGTATAGGGAACTCTGATGAAAGGACTCCTTGGGGTTTCCTGTGACGTTACTTCGTACAATACCATGTTAGGTACACCAATAGAATTGTACTCATTGAGGCCAATAGGAGTTTCAGAAGTCACTGCAGCCTTAAAAACCATTTCTTGGCTGGCCAGGGGTAGAGAAGGGATTACAACCTTGTTTTTGCAACAGGGAAAAGGCTGAGGGCTTTGAAAGACTCATATTAATTTACATGAAAATGGGGCATTCTGCTTGGCCCCTGCAATAGGCAAGTAAGTTGCACATTGTCATCCTTGTGTTTGCACCCATTATTTACTGAAGAGCATACAGCTCGTATTGGCAAACTCGCTGCACCCTTGCTGTAGGGATACTATTTTGCATGATGTGCAGTTGTTGGGAGTAGGGGGCAATTTTTTTTTTATTTATTGATAACGTAGTCTAAAATTTACCAGTTTAATGGTAGCATGTAGTCACTCCTCAATCATGCCATACACCACGCAGTTCCAGTGATTTAACTAGCACCATCAGCCCACAACTGGCTTACCAATAGGACCCCAAGGTTCTCCATCCTGCTTCCCTTCTCCCCTCTGGGATTCGGAGCTCAGACTCAGCTCAGCTGAGAGGTGTTCTGTACTCAAATAGCTGTGTCTGTGGAGAAGAAAACACACAACTAGCCCAACAGAAGGTAAGGCTCAAAAGACATGCAATCCGTTTTACACAGAAGTATTGAATAGCAGCCATCACACATTTTCAGGACTACAGTACACCTTCCCCTTCCTGATGTAATTGACATCATAAGACAAGACAGCAAAATGATCAGCTTATAATCTTTTTCCATCTTGTTCAGTTATGCCTGTACTGACGCTTCAAGTATCAACCGTGCCCAGTGGGAAAGGTTCTCATTTTGAAGGTTGTCCTAGAAGAACCGACCTTACCTCTTGTTCAATAGTCAAGAGCCTGTTTCTGATCCCCTTTCTGAGGTCAGAAACCCATCTGCATGTGGACACTATTATGTTATTTTGGGAAACAGAGCAGCCTTTTTGGTTTGGGGTCATATGCTCAATACATAACGGCAGGAAGACCCAACCTACTCATGCGAAGTAGGAATAGAGTTGCATAGCCATAGGCTCTTATTCCCCATGTAGGTATGAATTACAAACAACTGAAGACAGCGGTCTTTATTGTGTCTCCACAGGCTCTTAACATTTCCACCAAGTCCAATGCAAACATTTCATGCTTTATAGAGCTCACGTAATGCTGATATATTCTTATTTATGCAGTTACCTAAACCCTTGGTGTTGCTACCAAAGAGCCTATAGAAGCATAAGGGAACAAGATAGTTATTGTGATTTGCAAGAATAATTATTTTGCTGCATGACTATAAAATATTGGATGCCCTGCAGGAGCTAGTCAGATGTTCCATTGACATGAGACAGATAACGAACGTTGAATGTAAACGTGTTATGGGGTGTATGTGTCTTACCTCCTGTACAGCGTGGGTTTAACAGATGTCTCGTTATCATTAAGATTGCCCAGGGAGGGCCACTGGTTAACCAGAGGGGCCCCAATGCTTGAGTTGAACTGTTTGATGGGGGCATTTTCACAAGGGAGTAGGCCAGTGCTGGAATTACAGGGAGAGAATGCTCTAGTTATGAAATGCCAAGGTGCTTGATGGGTATGTTTGCTTTGGGATTGGAGCATGTCTGGTTGGTTTGGTATGATTTTGTATGCACCTCCTAGATCCTATTGGATGATGTCAAAGGAAAGGACTAAACAAACACAAAACCACACCTATCAATCAAAAAGTTACCCAAGGCTAAGCAGACAATGAGTGGAGGTAATCTGAACACACTTTAATGCAATGCCGTGGTATTATTTCCACCTATATACTGGGATTTATTTAAGCACTTGGAAACCAATCTTTAAGCATTGATGATCTGACAGGTTTCAGTGGCCAGGTTATTAAATCTGGACTTGTGCTCCCTAAAACTGGTGAGGCATAGATACTAAACACTCTCCATGTGATGTATTTGGAGATCTAGTGGTCCTCAACATGCAGATTGTTTATTCTGTTGAGTGGGTTTTTGGGAGTGGTGCTCTATGACTAGTGCTTGGTGTTAAAATGGACTTTGTCCAACTGTAAGAGATTAAAGATATGTGAATAATTCCAAAACAGATGGTAAAGCATCTGTTTCCCTTGGTATAGCCTAAATCAGCCTCTCTCAACCAGGGTGCCTTGAGGTTTCTTCAGGGGTGCCTTGGCAAAATATCTAAAAGTTGCCCCAAACTTGTATACAAGCCAGCGGGTGGGACAAGCCTGCCTTTTAGTTACAGAAAGTCACAGGTTTTCATTGTGCACCATTATGACCTTCAAGCCGCCAGCGTCCTGACAACCAATGACATCATTAGCTGATAAGGAGGATGTCAGCTGCCTGCACAGCATCCTAGTTTGACTCTCCCCTGCCCCTCTCCATCAGTGCTGGGGTCACATTAGCTCAGTGATGGAGAAAAACTGAGGAAGAAGAGAAACACTGGCATACTAGTCAGTACCAGTGTGAAGAAGTGTATTTGCTTTGGAAGAATAAATCACCTCTAATGTTGGGTGTCCTACGTGTGTGTGGATGTTGCTGAGTTATATAAAACTAGTAGAACAGTTTTTCACATTTTTGAATGGGGTGCCTCAAGACTGTCCATAATTTTAAAGGGTGCCTTGACTGAAAAAAGGTTGAGGAACACTGGCCTAAATGACTTAGGATCAAAATTAACATACTACCCTTAAATCCAAAGCCAATATGTAATTCTTCATTTTACACATTGTAGGGAATGGTAAAACCCGTCAAATTTTTCCACATCTGTTTCCAACTTGGGAAATTTCCCTTTACTTTTTGTCCTAGGCACAAAATACAAAGTGAGAGGAAATCCCCCTTGACAACTGTCACAGAAACAGTTTTCCCCTCTAATCCTGATCTGGTTACAACTCAAAGTTTTGGATTTGCCCTCACCTTCATTCCTGTTGCCAGAACAAATGAAGAGGACAGATCTCACTAGTGCAGACAGACCACAACAAAATCTTTCTCGGGGTGAAAAAAAATGTTTGAGTGGTAGATACACTTTAAAAAATACACTATATGTAAATTGAAAATACTATTTTATGTAAAATGTCTCAACAAAGGGGCTAAAGGAGATCCATTATCAAACAATCGTGTGGACAAAAACTGGTACAAAAATGAAGACTACCCAAAGCAACCACACTTTGTGCTATCTTTGTAAATCTTCCTCAAGGTCCAGGAAAAATTTCATGACCAGTGGAAGTGTCTGTATACCAGTGGTCAGGGGATTAGTGACGAATATATTTGTTTGGGAAGGGACTGGCAAAAAGCACATTCGTCTGAATGCTGGGAAAGAGCAGACTTCCAAGAAGCACCAAAGACATGGCACTTGTATTCTGATGCTGGAAAAATTAAATACTACTCAATGGGTGCTCTTAGAAACCAACATGAATGGAAGAAAAAAAATATGATATAATGTTGTCAAATGATCATGTTTGGTTACAGTGTGTGCCATGTATTCGGTGGACAATGTGATAGGTGCTCATTCCATGACCAGTCAACTGTTGGGAGAAATGTATGTAGGTTTTATGGTGAGGGATTGGTAGTAGTTATGTGTCCCCCACTTGGTCATGGACTTGATGGTTGGTAGAATGTGTGGCCAATGGCTAGTGATAGAAATCTGGTTAGATCCTCCTGAGCCTGTTGGTCAGGAAATATAGTTAGGTGCTTCTAATACAGCAGACTTCCCTTACGACAGTTCTTTACTAAATTGTATGGAGCCATTTGGCTATATGAATGTATATTGCATAGATGACTCCTCCAACTCACAGCTGTTCCTGCAGTTCTAGGATGACTCCCTCCAGCTGGTGTTTCTCCTGCAGGCTTTGCTCTCCCTGCTCCTGGATTCTCTGAGTCAGTCTCTTGTTCTCAGCTTCTAGATTCTTCAGCTGAGACTCCCGCAAACGGACCAGCTCTTCTAGATATCCCTGTGAAAAACAGGGGCAACCCCTTTAAGAACAATTAACTTTCTGAAACCATATTTTACACGATGGCACTCCCTGGACCAAGTCTGGCCAACCTGTAGCCCTGCTATCAGGTCTTGCTAGAATTTCATCTTTACACCTCGAAAATTTCTAGTATCCCAACTTGGTCTGGATCATGAAAATATCTATATAGGACCAGGAAACCTAAAGCTTGAACTCCAAACAGGTATGAAGAACACAAATAATTGTACCATATTCTACAGAACATTCTTAAATGCAATTTGTTCAAGGGGACATTACTTACTAATAATTCGATGTGTTCCTTGCAGGGGCGCGGACTGACAACTCATGGGGCCCCCAGGCAATAGGGGATCATGGGGCCCCTGTGTCCTTGCCACACTCAAAAAAGCCTATATAAAAAAAAAAAAAAAAAAAAAAAGGTACCAGAGGCATTTCATGGGGCCCCCTACTGACCCCAGGCCCTCGGGCAGTGCCCAAGTGCTCGAATGGTCAGTCCGCCCCTGGTTCCTTGTGCTTCTGGCTCCAGTTTTCTCTGAAATATTCCTCCTTTGATGCACCCTATCCCCACTGCTGTAACCTTCAGGTGCAGGGGTTAATAAATATGTCAGACCTGTGAAAGGCACTCAAAGAATGTCATTTCTGCCCCTTCATTCAAAAATCTGTACTCTCTCTTCTATGAATACAAGAGGGGACAGAAAGGGCAGGCATAGTCGGCACTCTTGACGAGCGCTGGTCACAGATCTGGTGGCTCTATTAACCCCCACCACATAATATAGTGATGAAAGGAGGGAGATTTCAAGAAATGCAGGAGCCAGCAGCACAAGGGACACATCAGATTCATAGTAAGTAATGTCTGTTGTGCTGATTTTCTAAACTAAACTTTGGCTTTAAAATCTAAGCAGTGCAAGAATTTGACTTTGTATTAGCCTCTTGCAATCCACTGCACAACAGAGCTGAGACTTTTGCCAAGAAGAAGCAGCAGAAGGTGTCAATCAGTTGTGCTTGAATGATCATACTGACAGGAGGAAAGAGCAGAGTGACAGAGCTGATCTCCTCAGTCTTCTGCTTTTCTTTCACAACCCAGCTGCAACAGAAGAATCAGGTCTCCTGTCCTGCCAAAACAGGTCTACCCTGTGTGATAGATCTGTATAAATATCAGGACTGGATGGACAAGAAGGCAAATCCTTTTGGCAAGTAAAGCAGCTCCCCTATATGTATTTCATCTGGGTATCTATTAATTTTCATGAAATTCAGCTTTAAAATGACAATTTTATATAAAACAGTATTCACAATGCAGTTATACCTGGACTGCATAAAAGTAACGGAGTGAGAGGCACGGGTGTATTTACCACAAGGCATTTGCCTAGGGCGGCAACTTTCAGGGGGCAGCACTGCCCCTTAAAGGTAGGGATGGAAGAAGGGACACATGCAGCATGGGGACCAGGTGGGATTTGAAAGAGGCTGCGGACTGCTTGATGGTGTATGCAGAGCCTGACTCTTGTTCCCGGGGGATGTCCGAAGCTGTGAAGGCATCTTCTCTCTCACAGGGTTGGGGGCATTGCCAGTGTACGGGGGCGGTGGTAGTGGAAAGCTCTCTTGGGTTGGGGTGCTGTTGGTCAATGTCAGGCTCGCTTTGTGCGGGAGGGGGGTGCTGCTCAGTGTCAGGGTCTCTCCGTTAGGGGGGGGAGCCAATTTTTGTGTTGCCTAGGGCAGCACGAAACCTAAATACACCACTGGTGAGAGGTTAATGTGGGTAGAGACATTTTCTAATACATACAGTGGTATATTTAGGTTTTGTGCTGCCCTAGGCAACACATAAATCGGACGCCCCCCCCTTCGCGGCAAAGAGAGCCTGACACCAACCAACAACACCCCTGTCCCATCCCCCCTACCCGAGAGAGCCTTCCGCTAACACCCAAACCCTGGCAAAAGAGAAACCTTCACAGCTCTGGACATCCCCGGGAATGACAATCACGCTCTGCATACACCATCAAGCAGCCCGCAGTCTCTCTTGGATCACACCTGGTCCCCATGCCGCATACATCCCTTCTTCCAGGGGGCAGTGCTTCCCCCCTAAAAAATGCCGCCCTAGGCAAATGCCTTGTTGGCCTTGTGGTAAATACGCCCCTGAATACATAGATGACACGAAGTTTAGCATGGTACACAAGGACTCTTAATGTAGCCACAGCCAGAAAAGAATTACTACAAAGGGGTGTACTTATTTCTATGTACTCTTGGCTTGCTCACAAAAACAAAAAAAAAAAGGCTGATCAAATAAGTTGCTGTTAATTTCATATGAGCTATATATCCAGAACTGTTGATCACATAAACATACTTTCGGTACAGGCTGCACCATCCCACATGAATTGAGAATCACTGGTAGAGCTCAGACATCCCACCATGTTGTTTTTCAATGAATAGGTCATATAGGCCACATCTTTTTCCAGCACTCATACGGAATTGAGACCAAAGTCAGCTTTATATATGATACATTTCCAGTAACTACAGAACATAGTCATTAGATCATCAACAATTGACCGCACACGGCCATCACTGCAAGGAGCTTCACCAAGTGCTTGCCTATTGATCTGAAATCCAACAAATTAATGTAAACTGCTAGTGGTTTTACAGTAAGAGAAAGAATAATGTGCTACAAACTAAAAGAGATTTACTGACAAAGACACAGTAGGTGGATATCTGAACAATCACTGAGGAACTCTGAAATAACCAAACCATTTTAAAGGGCGGGCATGGACATATGGAAGATATTTGGCAAGAACCTTCTCTGTGCAGTAGAAGACTAGGCTCATCATCAGAGACTTGGTGATTTGGGAGTTTGTTTTCATTTATGATACGACTGAGAAAAACCAGTAGATGTCAATAGGAGAACCCTAGACATGCACTAAGCGATGGGTACAAGAAGGTAAAGGAAGAGGAGGTGCCTGAAGCCAATTGTCTGGTTTCAATGGATAAATCCCCTTATGCATCAAATTCAATAAATGAGTTATGTATGGGGCACAAATGGCTCTCCTGCCTACAGAATCAATATCTTTTCGGTTATAAACCCGGCAGAGTGGAAATGGAAGCTTATGATTAAAGCATCTACCAGAGCACAGTTTATTCAGACACAATCCCCAGCATCATACCAAAGTTCAGCCTGGATGCCAAATTTCTAACTTCCCCAGATAGCTATGCATGGCCAAGATTTAAAAAATCTATGGTAAAAGAAAAAACATGTCTACTGGCAGACCTGTTTAAATCTCTCTTAATCTATTAAAAATATATGGACACCTTTGAGAAAAAAAATAAAAAAAACAGCCTGGGCTCAGAGGAAGTGGGTTGAAAGATGCTGGCCAATGTTTAATTTAGAAAGGCAGGGTCATCTAATGACAGAAGTGACTTTCTGCAGGGGACAGTGAAGTATTGAAATCAGGTATTGCATAGCTCTAAAATACAGGTATATTATTATTATTATACAGGATTTATATAGTGCCAGCAGTTTGCTCAGCGCTTTACAATATAACGGGAGACAATACAGCAACAATACAGTTCAATACAAGAGGGTTAGGAGGGTCTGATCCTGGGAGCTTACAGGGGAGGGGCTAGTGGTACAAAAGGTAGTAACTGTGGGGGATAGAGTGGTAGGAGGAGTAGAAGATTCCATTATTAGCTGAGGGCAGGATAGGCTTTTAAGTTCCTTCCTATCTGTCCTAGTAGGGTTTGCCTCCAAGATCAACATAATAGACAGGGGCGTATTTACCACAAGGCACTTGCCTAGGGCGGCATTTTTCAGGGGGGCAGCACCTGCCCCCAGAAGAAGGGGTGAATGATGGGACATGCCATGGGAACCAGGTTGGATTCAAGAGAGGCTGCGGTCTGCTTGAAGGTGTATGTAGAGCCTGGCTCATGTTCCCGGGAATGTCCGGAGGTGTGAAGATGAGTGTCTCTCTATCGCCATGGGGGGTGGGGGGGTTGTGGAAGGCTCCCAGTTGGGGGCAGGAGTGTTGTTGGTCAATATCAGGCTCTCTCCGCGGGAGGGGGAAGGGGGGGTTGTGTTGGTCGGTGTCCGTGGGGGCAGCCAATTTTTGTGTTGCCTAGGGCAGCACAAAACCTAAATACACCACTGATAATAGAGGCACGTGTTCCATATCTAGAACTAATACATATCAAAAAATCTAAACAGCTGCATACCCTTTGGAATAAATGATAGTATTAGTACTGGATCTTCAATATGTACTAGATTCTGGAGGTAGGTGTAACGGAACCATCCCAGCCTGCGCTGAGTACTTCCGTTAGAATACTGCTTCCCCGTCCAAATAAACTTGTCTACTTTCTGGATTACTTCAAGTCTGTGGTCAGTGTTCGAACACAGATACAAGATATAGACACTCAAGGGACAAATCCCCCCTCCCTGCATAATGTCACAGGGTGGGGCAATCTACATTTAGTAACAAGAGACACACAGGTATTCAAACTGCACCCCAGCAGACAGTCCCATCAGGAGGGAGGGCTGCTGGAGAAAACCCGACACTAAGCTAATACACATAAACACATACATCCCATAATAGTTTGTTCCCAAGCAAGACAAACAATAGAACAATGGGATGCAACCACATAACACCAAACAATCCACAACCCCTCAACCCCACCTATCTCCTAGACATGTCTACACAATATTAGGATAGATCACCCTGTACCCCTAACAGGCACAGGGTGACTTAAACATAAGAGGGATATGGGGAGCTGAGACAGGGGTCTCCCCACCTCTCCAAAGTGAGCTGTGTTCCATGGGCCCCCAACCCAAAGTGACTGCCATCACAGTAGGGTTAATGAAAAGGATATGAAGAAAGTTACATGGTTCCACCTAATATATCAAAATGAGGAATAACCCCCTTGTTTTTAATATTTTTTGTTGATCACTTGCACATTAAAAAGGAAATACATAATATGTATTTTATGATATCTCGTTAACATGAATGATTCCACCTACCTTTTGTGCATAGACAATACGGAACTTCTGTTCCATCTTACGCCACTTGCTGTACCAGGTCTCCTCGTCCGTTAGCAGCGGTAAGTAGGGGTGTTCGGGAGAGCTGTCCTCACTGCTGCTGCCACCTACACTTTCTCTGTCTTCTTCTTCACTTAGGTAATCATAACTGGTCAGAGAAATGTTGGTTATAGTAAACAACTGGAATATTCATTGCACACTTAATGAAAAGGTCCAACAACCAGTATAACTGATTTAAATTAAAATATTTAAAGCTGGTGATGTGAAGTTCCTCCTGCAATCTCTTCCCCTCTCTGCACTCACCGAGGTGGAACGGAGAAGAAAAAAAAAAAATCTAGTGCTGAAACAAGAGTAGAGCTAGTGCAAATAGCAGCCGGTCACATTAAAAACATCCGACTACTGATGGTGCCCCATTAAAGTCAACAACTATCCCTCCCCAATCCTACCCTCCCCCACCTCTCCACCAACATTCCCCCCTAATTCCCCTAACTCCTCACCAAGGCCCTTCAAAGGCACACGAATACCTCTGATGATATTGCTAAACAAGACCAATACCCCATCTGTCCAGAGGGCGGATCTACAACAAATTGATCGACCATATTTCTCTACTGTAATGTATGATTGAACCGTATCTCTTTTCACTGTTTTTCCCTGTTTATCCTTGAAAAACTCAATAAAAATATTGAAACAAAGTCAACAACTAATTCTGATAGGAACAGTAAGAGATTGTCGGAGGACCATTATGCTGGTAAAAATGAAAGGAAATGGTTGCATAGAAAACCTTGAGCAGTGAATCTGCCCCTACTGCCTCCAGGAAAAGTGGTCAGTCTTGGACAAAAAAAGTAACCTCTACACTGCTTGAAAAATGTCTTCAGGTGCCCAAATGACAAAGATATGTTATTTGAACGAAATAAATTGGTTTTCCTCCTCTAGACTCCTTTATATTTGTGTAAAAACTACATAAAACTCCCATCCAACTCCGGATTTTGTACTGGGACAAGGTCCTTTGGAACCCAGGGTGAGAAGGCCAACATGCATCTATGGTGTATGTGTAATGCTACTAATTGCAACCAGCTTTTCCATTTGAAGTTGACAGGGCAGGTAATAAAAAATAAAATGGTATCTTTCCAGGTTGCTTTTGGGTATGCTGCCAAATTCTCTGAGTGAAGAAGTGTATCCCAGGCAGATCCTTCTCATTGTTCCTCTACTGTAAAGTGAAGCTTGGTTGCATACAAAACCTTTAGCAGTGGATCTGCCCCTACTGCCTCCAGGCAGACAAAGTGGCAGTCTTGGACAAAAAAATAACCTCTACACTGCTTGGAAAATGTCTTCAGGTGCCCAAATGACAAAGATATGTTATTTGAATGAAATAAATGGGTTTTCCTCCTCTAGACTCCTTTATATTTGTGTACAAACTACATAAAACTCCCACCAAACTCCGGATTTTGTGTTGGGACAAGGTCCTTTGGAACCCAGGGTGAGAAGGCCAACATACATCCCTTCCCCCTCATCCCAATAAGCTGTGGATTGCGTCAGTCACATTCAGGTTATGCCCTTTTTGTGTTTCCTGCTCCCTCCTTCTTGCCGAAACACCCAAGGTGTTGCCTCTTCGGTCTACCCCTTGTTCCAGACCCACCTGATATCCAGGCTAAATACTCTAAGAAAAGGTATTATGACACACTAGGCCACCTTTATTATTCTCATATATAAATGGAGTTATTTTTTTTTAATTTGTACTCACCTTTGTGTAAACTTCAAGTATGGAGTATAGTCTATCACTGCTGGAGTTTTGCCATCAATTCCTTCCCCTTTTAGGCAAAAGCTGGAAGAAGACCAAATAAGAGGGTGTCAGACAGAACTGGAAAAGTCTGCTACTGGAAACATGGTCACTGGTAATTCGACTTCTCCCAAAAATATTGATTTCAACATTTCTTCACATTTTGCATTATTTGTCCCTTTGTTGGTATGCATCTATGGTGTATGTGTAATGCTACTCATTGCAACCAGCTTTTCCATTTGATGCTGACAGGGCAGGTAATAAAATAACTGGCATAATCTTCCAGGTTGCTTTTGGGTATGCTGCCAAATTTTCTGAGTGAAGAAGTATAGCACAGGCAGATCCTTCTCATTGTTCCTCCACTGTAAGGTGAAGCTTGGCTGTATACCTTACAATCTAATTGTAAAGTATAATTTCCTTTATATTCCTATTTTCCTTTATGCTGCTTCTCTTAACCTTTTACCCCAGAGGAACCCTTGAAATACATTTTTAGGTCTTGGGGAACCCTTATTAAAACCAATTCATTGGTGGTCAGCATGAAAAAAATGTTCCTGCAATGAGAAGAATGCCTTTCTTACAGTGGTGGTCAGAATGCCACCCTTACAGACAGGTAAAAAGATCATTGGGTTCATGCAAGCTTGTTCTGCCCAGTGACATTGGACACAGAACTGTCCAGTCACCATTAAATAGGAGGTCAGTCAGCCATACCTGACCCCTAGCAACCTTTGGAGGAACCCTGGGGTTCTGCAGACCCATGGTTGCAAATTGGCTGCCTAAAAGTTTTCCAACCACTATGTAATGTGAGGGCCTACCTAAACAATCCATTTGATTTATATTAGTCAAGTGCACTGTAAGGGTTAATGTACAAATCAGATGAAAGGTATATATTAAGCGTGAATATTGTTGGTTGTCATGATCTACAGGACAGGTGAATTCTACCTTCAGATAAAGTCGGAGATATGCTACCAGAAGCTTACACTTTATTGCCAAAAAGTATTGGTCGGCCTGCCTGCCTTTACACACACACACACACACACACACACACACACACACACGAACTTTAATGGCATCCCAGTCTTAGTCCGTAGGGTTCAATATTGAGTTGGCCCGCCCTTTGCAGCTATAACAGCTTAAATGTTTCTGGTAAGGCTGTCCACAAGGTTTAGGAGGGTGTCTATGGGAATGTTTGACCATTCTTTCAGAAGCACATTTGTGAGGTCAGGCACTAATACTGGACAAGAAGAACTGGCTCGCAGTCTCCGCGTGCAGACCAGTCAAGTTCCTCCACCCCAAACTTGCTCATCCACGTCTTTATGGACCTTTGTTTGTGCAATGGTGCGCAGTCATGTTGGAACAGGAAAGGGCCATCCCCAAACTCTTCACACAAAGTTGGGAGCATGAAATTGTCCAAAATGTCTTGGTATGCTGACGCTTTAAGGGTTCCCTTCACTGGAACGAAGAGGCCAAGCCCAACCCCTGAAAAGACAACCCCACACCATAATCCCCCCTCCACCAAACCTTACAATTGGCACAATACAGTCAGGCAAGTACGGTTCTCCTGGCAACCGCCAAACCCAGACACGTCCATCGGATTGTTAGACAGAGAAGCATGATTTATAACTCCAGAGAACACTTCTCCACTGCTCTAGAGTCCAGTGGCGGTATGCATTGCACTGTGTGATGTAAGGCTTGGATGCAGCTGCTCGGCCATGGAAACCCATTCCATGAAGATCTCTACGCACTGTTGTTGTGCTAATCTGAAGGCCATATGAAGTTTTGAGGTCTTTAGCTATTGACTCTGCTGACAGCGACGTCTGCTCACTGTGCGCTTCAGCATGCACTGACCCCACTCTGTGATTTTACGTGGCCTACCACTTCATGGCTGAGTTGCTGTTGTTCCCAGCTGCTTCCACTTTATAATAAAACTAACAGTTGACCGTGAAATATTTAGTAGCCAGGAAATTTCACGAATGGACTTATGCAATGGTGGCAACCTATCACAGTACCACCCTTAAATTCACTGAGCTCCTGAGAGCAACCCATTCTTTCACAAATGTTTGTAGAAGCAATCTGCATGCCTAGGTGCTTGATCTTATACACCTGTGGCCATGGAAGTGATTGGAACACCTGAATCCAAAATGATTTGGAGGGGTGTCCCAATACTTTTGACAATATAGTGTATATCCACATAAAAAATGAACACAAAATTACAGAAAATTGAGATAGGATTTCAAGAAAGAACCTCAGGATTTATAACAAAAGTTGTGGACAAACATTCTTTAGTAGACAGGACATGACAATTTTCCACTATCTCCAAGTTCACAGTAAAAACAATTGTGGAAACGGTTTTTTTTTTAACACAAGAGGATTGAAGACCTTTTTTCAAGACACAAGTTTTTTTTCTGACATCAGCACATTATAGTGTACCTCATTTAGAATGAATGTTATGAAGACTGGATTGGATAAAGGTCATTACATAAGGTCTCTCATGGATCCTACCTGAAATCGATGGCACTGAGGCCTATCAACATCCCAGTGAGGACAGAGGACTCTTCTCGCAGTAAAATAGCACCATCGTCATAAAACCTCCTAAAAAGGAAAAAATGGTGGCAGTGTCATCTTCTCAAGGCGACAAAATACAAATTTAGCTCTACTTCCACAACGCTTTTGTTTGTTTCACACCAATGGGGCATATGGCCAAATTTGTGGTCATCAACATTGGTAATTATACAGGAGGGACATAAAACCTATAAATGCTTTTTGGTTACATTACAGCTCTGTTCAAGCTTTCTTAAATCTCTCATTTTTCAAAAAGTAGTCCCATCTAACAAAAACTTGATGATGAACCTTCTATATCAAAATGTTTTTATGAAGAACTGTATAGATTTGTAATAGATAGAATAATGCCATGCATCCTGTCCTAGAGCATCTTTGGCTGTTATGGTGCTGGCAACCAGCCCACTCACGCCATGGCAACTCATGACGCTGGTCCAGGGCAAACTACGTCCTAGGGGGAACCCAGATGGCATCTCAACTGAGAAACACTGTTCTAAGCTCAAATACAGAGAGATTGACTCTATGCAGCTTTTGGAACTAGCTGTCTTTTCTAGCTAATCATGTTCCCCAAAGCAACTTTTGATGGCCATGGCATGCCATCTATTTGTAGCTACCTAAATAGAAATTGTAGTTAGCCATAAGAAAACTCTATAGCCAGCTACAAGTCATCAGATAAAGCTGCTAAAAAAATCTCAGATACAAAGTTACTAGTCAGACATGGCCCTTTTAGGAACATGTTGATACAGCAGTCCCTGTAAGGTAACACATATTGTCTCACCTGGTGGTTCTGGTGTCTCTTAGTGCAGTTACAATGTATTCTGAAAGTCGTTTCTCCATCAGCGCAAGACGTATCCAGGCCCGACCCTACACAACAACAGCATAAATGACCACACTGTGTACCTGACTACAGTGCTGTTGGTAATGTGACATCAAAGTAGAAATTAACTCGAAATGTGAAGACTCACTATGTTATTAGGGAATATTTAGAAATACAGATTTTTTTTTTTTCAGGGTACTGCTAAGTTACAACTATTTTTGTCATCATTTTCTCCTTAAATCAGTTCTATTCCTGGTATATGAAGAGGATCACTGCCTCATAGCTGTATGTCTGCAATATGAGATTGAAGGCACTGCTGCCTCTGACTGCTAGTCTCAGGAGATATGGTGATATCACTACTGAGTTGATGATTGTTTTCCTTGCTGGAGGCTTTGATATGAGGAAGCAAAGACCTGCCTCTATCAAGATGGCTGCCTCCACACAGACACTGCACAGAACAAGGCATGGTAATTTAGCAATAGGGAAAAGATCAGCATCAGAGAGACTGCATGCAATATTGATGACAAGTCCTTGCCCTCTGCTTGCATTTTTTGGCACAGCTGCCATAGTTCAGTGTATCTTTTAAAGATAACTCAATGAGTAAGGCAGGTAGCCAGCATCAGGACCCATCAAAGATTGATACACTGGGGTTTATTTACTAAATCAATGTGCAAAATCAGGCTCACTTCCGCGTAGAAAACCATTCAGCTTTTGGCAATAAAACCTGGAAGCCGATTGGTTTCTATGCAGAAGTGAGCCCGATTTTGCACTCTTCAGCTTTAGTAAATAAACCCCACTATGCCCACTCATCACAAGTGAGGTTTGAATTGAATGAGCCTCCTGTAAAGCTGGTGTTTTCAATGGCTATCCCTAAACATGGCTTAAACTTCGACTGATTCCTGTGAATTGGCTGAAATCTGTGCCATGAGTGGCCCTGCTGACGCCAAGAACTTGTTTGAGAAAATCAAGGAACTAGGTGGAAAAAAAAAAGTTGTCCGAAAAGTGACTGCAGTCAATCAGCTGAAGGCGTCTGTTTGGTTATGTGGACGGGATGCCAGTATCACAGATGCCGGCTGTCAGAATACAACAGCGAGGGGTAGAGGATTCCTCCATCTACATTGTTTAGAGTGTATGGGTAATCTATAATTTTCTCTCATTTAACCCATTCAGCTATAAGTGAGCAAACTTTACTTGTAGGGCTACAAAACTTTATACCTTTACCCAGAGGTCAATACATTGGATACATCATCCAATCAACATATACAGATAATTTAGATCTACAGACCATAGACATGAAATTATTGGCGGGGTTGGAAGTCATGCTGGATTTCTCAGACTGCTGGATGTTTTAAAAATTGTTGGTCTTGTGATAGATTAACCAAGATAACCACTAAAAGACCTTGGAAATCAAAGTACGAAAGACAACAGAGCACCAAAGAAATGGTTCAGTGGGGTGTTCAGGTGTGATTAAATAATTTGGTTGGCATAGAAAGCCAATGCATATCATATCATATTCATTCTTCTTCAGGGCTTTAGAAAAAAGTTTGACATGCTGAACATAGAGAAATACAAGTAGTTTCAATGTGGCTTCTAGGAAACTTAGGGCACACAAAAAAAAAAAAAAAGAAAGAAAAAAGTGGTGGACTGGAAGGGTATCTGTCCCAAACACCCAAGTGAGACCCTCCAGTGGACCAATCGACTCAAAAAACAAGAATGGGGAGCCACATTCAAAGTGAGGATCCAAATATAAAGTCTGTTCCATGACTTTCAGATGAGAAAATGCCTCCATCAGGGTTTGAAATGTTGATGGAGCTGGGGATTGGACTGGACTGGGAATGAAGAAGGAGGAATAAATGTTATAGTGTAATTGTGTACGCTTCTCAGCAGCTTCTTGTTGCAGGGTCTTTTCTGAACAGAATAGCTGAAATTTTACTCTACTTCAAGGCTTTAGAAAAGATCCTTGTAGGACAATGGTATTGAAGTGGATGTATATTGATTATTGGCAGATCGGGACACAATGACCGAGTAGTTGGTTACCTAAAGAAAAGGAGATTTTATCACATCTGAACATCCTGCTGAACCATTTTTGGGTACTTCATTATCTATTAAGCTTCAATAGAAATTAAATGAGCCAGAGATGACCAAGCTCAGAAGCAATGCTCTACATTTAATTTAGTTTTTTTTGTCATACATTTGTATTTGGAAAGCGATTACATTTGTCTTCCTCATATGTTACCGCACATTGCCTATTCCTATCCACCATCTTTTTAATGGAGACCCGTACTGCGATAATATGTGGGCTGGACACTCCTTTGAAAAATGTCACTTTCTGAGCACTGGATCTGGAACAATATGCAGATTAGGAGCTCTGAGACTGCATGCTTGTTTTGGATCAATAACTCAAAGTAATGAGGCCTGAAACAGCCATGCTAGTAGCATTTTCAGCAATGGCAGACTTCATATTTTTCTCAATACAGGTTTCCTTTAATATTCATTAATTGACTTTCATGCATCAATTAGTTGACAAAATGTGCTGCGTCATCCCTTTATATAAATGTATGCAGCCTTGCTATGACTCAGGACTTTGAAAATGTACAAGCAGCAGGTCTTCATCATTCTTGTTTTTATTTTAAATAATTTAATAAAGATGATCATAACTGAACATGTTACATACTGTATCTAAACTACAGAATAACAGAACAGGACGTCAATCAATAACAAAGGTATGACAAAACATGCAAGATTTAGAACCACCTAGAAAAACCACCTTTGCTCTAGCTGTGCCAATGTTCTCCATGTTCTCAATGCTGCTGATACAGTTGTTGGGAACTTTGCTGCAAGCGATACGGATATAGTCCCAGAATCCTCTCTGGCCATCTGTGCTAAACCAGCTGACGTGACCTAAGGGCAACAAAAGAAAGGTTAGTTTCATAGGTGTAGGAGACTTAGACCTTATTCACACATCCCAAAATTGGTGTTCTGACCAGAGGCGGCTGTTCAACCTGTAAAAATCAATGACAGGCTGGGGCCCTATGTGACTGTGAGCAGGTATCTGCACATCTGGCTGTTAAGGACAGAAGTTAGGCCATGGATGCAATCTTTCTGTGTCCACGGCTGGACATCTGTCCTTAATTGCAGATAAGTGCTGGACGTACGGATAGATGCTTACAGCTATGGAGAGCCCCATCCATTTAGCCAGTCATTGAATTGTATAGGCTGAGCAGCCACCGCTGAACGAACACTTGGGATGCTGGATGCAAGTATCTGCAGTATACTTGCAGCACCATGGCCAGGGGCGAACTGACCATTTGGAAACTCGGGCACTGGCCGAGGGCCCAGGGTCAGTATGGGGCCCCGTGAGATGCCCCTGGTACCTTTTTCATAGGCTTTTTTGAGTTTGGGCAAGGACACAGGGGCCCCATGATCCCCTATTGCCCGGGGGCCCCATGAGTTGTCAGTCTGCCCCTGACCATGGCTCATTTCGCACATCTGAATGAGGCCTTAGGGTCAAGAAGATCTCTATTGCCCACCAGACCGCAATCTGTCCAGAAAAGAGTGCTGGAGCAACTGGTGGATGGTGCCACAGAAAATATGTTGCTAGCACACCTCAATCTTTTTATAATAAAACCACTTATGTCACTTAGCCTAATGAAGAGGAATTGATGGTTCCAAAGCGTTTTGGGGCATGAACCTACAAAAATAAATGTGGCTTCTAGGAGATCTAGAGGACAGAACAAAAATAATGGTGGACTGGAAGGAGATGCATCCCAAGCACCCACGTGAGAAGCTTCTAATGGACTCAAGAAACATAATTGGAGAGCCAAATTGGAGCCACTCCAAAACAAGAGCCCAAATATAACGTCTGTTCCAGGAAAACAGTCTAATGCTTTTCAGGGAACAGAAAAAGCCCCCATCAAGGTTTGAAATGTTGAGGGAGCTGGGGACTGGACTGAACTGGGAATGAATTAGAGGGAGAATACATGTTATACTGCAAAATTAGTACGCTCCTCGGAATCTGGTTGTTGCAGGGTGTTCCTTGAAGAAAGTACATATAATTTCTAGGTATGGAATAGCATGGGATTCACTCCAAGTGAGCGCTGAGCCAATTGCCAAGCACCAGTGCAGTCATTTGAAAAAAAAAAGTCTACAACCCTGTGCATTTTAGGACTCCTGGCCTGCATGATTAAAGCATGGGTTCACTTTAAGAATAATAACTCTTTATTGAATAGATGCCAAGAGCAACCATTTACAATCCATCCTGAGCTTGACTACAACAGAGGGGATACTTTTGAGCAGGTACACATTGACCTACAGCATAACAGTACACACCATCAGTAGTACGAGCTTTGGCATGAAGTCAATGTGACTACTGACATACATTTCTGTAAATTACTGGTTCACAGTCTATAACCTTCATCCAAATACACATCATAGAGATACATGAAGGCTACAGGCGGATGGGAACCTCAAGTCTGAGTCTTTAGAGACAGTCTTAAGTAGTGCTCCTCCTTTGATCCCATCAGTTGGAGGAAGAAATTGACCTCAAGGAACTCTGCAATGTATAGGCCTTGCTGACAACTTCAGAGAGGGGAGATCCTTAGACCAAAGGCTGAAGCAGAGAACGGAGGGTGAACCAGCTCTGATGAAGAGGGTACTGCCCTTGAAACACATAAGCTACGCACCATTCAAGTCTATGGAATGGATTAATTCTATGTTTGCAGGTCACTTTTGGGAGTATTTTGGAGTTATTATTTTCCAATAAAATAGTCTTATGACCATACACTAGGCTGTTGTGCCCTCTCTTGTCTTTGTATCTGTGTACAGTAGAGATTATACAATCACTTTTACTCTTTAGAATGGAGGTACCGTTTAAATCATCTCCTATAACAACCCGCCTCCCCATGCCTCTCTCACCCTTAAATCGATGACTCAGAATGTGTTCCAAAATTGCAGCAAAATTCACAAACTCTTCTGAGGAATCATCAATAGGCTCCGCTGTGTATTTCTCCAGGAGAGTCTTCACTGAAAACCTAGGAAGGGAATGTGCAGCGGCAATTAATGTGTCAGATGTATAGAATATACAGCTACAAAGTCTAGATCTAGAACACGACTAATCCAAGGGCTACATATACATTATCATGGATATTTACGTATATAGCATTGACAATTTACACAGTTGTCCATCAAGGCACTTACAATCTAAGGTCACTATCTTGCAACATACAAATATGTATGGACGGGAGACAATTAACCTACCAGATTTTCTTTGGAGTGCGGGAGGACACCCACTTAAGCACAGTAAGAACATGCAAACTGACCGGAATACAAACCAAGGACCCCAGTGCTGCAAGGCAGGGCTGCTAACCACTAAGCCACTGTGCCGCCTGCTATCCACCCTTTTCACTGCCAAAAGACAGCACAGCCATGTCCTGGAGCCCTCGACAGTCTTCATCACAGGTGTCAAACTAGTGGCCCTCCAGCTGTTGCCAAACAAGTCCCATGAGGCATTGCCAGTTACAAGCATGACTCCTAAAAGATAAAGGCATGATGGTACTTGTAGTTTCACAACAGCTGGAGGGCCACCAGTTTGACACCACCTGGTCTACATCATGCTTAAGTAGTACAACTTGGTACAGCAGCTTCCAGAGTCTGTGATTGGACAACTAAATAGAGGTCATACCTGTGCTTTTCACTCCTGTAAGCATGTTTACATGTTAGACTGACAGTATTGTTGAAAGCAACACAGCCTAATTAGTGCACGCGTCCTTCATTCCAAATGCTGCATTGGTGGAGATTATAGGAGGCTTTTAAAAAATCCTGCAAAATTGAATGAAGATGGCAGAAGCTGGGCTTAAATAGGTAGATCGGCTATTGTTGGAGTCTAACTAGGCACTAATATAAATGAATTGAGCTGGATATCTGCATTGCCTAATAGGTTATGGTGTAAAGGGGGTAACACGAGCCACTCACAAATGTTGCGTACTGTCCATAACACATGCCTGTTTATAATAAATAGACTGTCACCCTGCCTGCTGAGCCCATCTACAAGTAAAAAGAAAGCACAGGATGTAAAAATTTCAATGGGCCAGTCAAATTATGACTGGGCACTCTAGCTCCAGCTTACCAGCACTCTACAAAACATGGACATCCCCCCCCAAAAAAAAATCTTGAGAATTCCACATATCTACAATCCAATAAAAGCACCAAACGTCCAAAGCTCTTGATAAACTTAGTTCATAGAAAAATATTCAATGCATTTCGGCAGCCAGACTACACCCCTCATGAGGGGAAGTCTGTTTAGTGCTTGAAACGCGTTGGTTTTTTTTTGCTATGAACCAATTTTTTCCTTAAAAATTTTGAAGTCTTGGATGTTTGGTGCTCTCATTGGATGGTTTTATGCTGGGCCATCTGACTGGGTGCACTTTGGTAGAATAGCGTACTTACATGCCATCCAATAGATTGGGAGGGAGGCAGTATAACTGGCCTAGGAGGGCAGCAAGTATAAATCTGGCCCTGTATATGAATCTATTGGATTGCCAACATACACTATAAGTAGCCATTTTTGGGCAAAGGGGTCAAATTGGTGTAGATTGTTCCTACTGAGCACTACTTTGAAATGTCAAAAGGGAGTTTCAGTGCTGACACAGGTTCCCAATACCCGGCTTGTCAGTGGGATGAGGTTTTTTTGGAGTTGGGTCAAGATGTTGAAACCTTTGGATGACATTCATGGATAACGGCCATTTTTAATAGAGCGCTTAGCAATGGCAGTTTACTTATTTTCTCGGAAGGGGTTTCCTTCAAAAGAGTAATTTAACATTTTCCATGTCACTTTTATGACGGGAGTCACTTTGGGTGAGTGACCCATGGAACACAGCTCACTTTGGAGAGGTGGGGAGACCCCTGTCTCAGCTCCCCATATCCCTATTATGTGTAAGTCACCCTGTGCCTGTTAGGGGTACAGGGTGATCTGTCCTAATATTGGGGTGGGGGGTTGATGGCATTAAACCATGTGGTTGCATCCCATTGTTCTACTGTATGTCTTGCTTGGGAGCAAACTATTATGGGATGTATGTGTTTGTGTATTGGCTTGGTGGGGGGTGTTTCCAGCAGCTCTCCCTACTGATGGGACTGTCTGCTGATGTGTTACTAAATGTATATTGCCCCGCCTTGTGTCATTATGCAGGGGGGGGGGGGTTTCCCTTGAATGTATATATCTTGTATCTGTGTTAAAAAAAAGTACTCAATTTCCTGGTTTACTTCAAGACTGCTGTTCTCTAGTCTTGTATGGTCTGCTGTGGTGTCTGTGGTCGGTGTTCGGACGGGGAAGTGGTAGTCTAACGGAAATACCCAAGTGCAGTCGGGGTCCGGTTCCGTTACAACTTTCACACAATACAAAAGTGCCTTCAAAACGGAACTAAAAACTCAAACAAGAATTTCTTCTCCCCAATGCTCCAGCAATCTTAAAGGTCCTGTCATCATCAAGACCGATGCAGGAGCCATAGCCCTACGCTGGACATGAGGATGCCAAGGGACAGCCGTTGGAGCATGGGGGGGGGGAAACAGTCTTCTGGAGGAACCAAGGATCAGGTAAGTAAAAGTTATTTTCACAGTCCCTAGACTAAATGAACCGTTAACTCTTGCAGTGCCCCACCAACCAGATTCTGCCTTTCATTCACCAGAAATATAATAGCTGGACCTACATGCCCCACTTTTTTTTTCTTAATTATACACAAACAATGCTCAATGGTAGGGACACAATAGCTGTGAAACAACAGGATGCTTCTGGTTGAAGGTTAAAATTAGAGCTAAAACCTTGTTTCCATTTTGGATAGAGTAAGGGAGGGTTATATATTCTGTCAAACGTTTTTGCCATCTGTGTCCAATTGGGGAAATTTCCCTCAATTTCCTGTCCCAAAACCAAAACAGGAAGAGAGGAAATCCCTCCAAAGTGAGGCAATTTCTGGTTGTCACCTGAACTAGTGTCCCCATTGGAACATTTCCCGTCTGTTCCTGTCCTAGTGGCAACCCAAAATTTAGATATTTTCTTTTGCTTTAACTCTTGGCAAGAACAGTAAACATGACAAATAGGGGAAAAATTACTAAAACTGGTGCAGCTGTGCATGGTAGCCAATCAGCTTCTAACTTCAGCTTGTTCAATTAAGCTTTGTCAATAAAACCTGAAAGCTGATATGTTTCTATGCAGAGCTGCACCGGATTTTGCATGCTCCCGTTTAATAAATAACCCCCATAGAGAGAGGGACACATACAACAATAAAAGACCTGATCTTTAGACCATGCGATGTCACCACTGGGTCTGCAATTCAGGCAGCTCATGGCTGGTGGGAGGGGCCAACAGTGTGCTGTACATAGCTTTCTGAAAGTCTCATAACACCCTGCCTTGGTACTCCTTTCAATAGCCCTCAGCAGTGGGTGGCTCTTGGGTGATATGCAAATATCAAAATGCCTTGATGGGTGAATGTCAGTCTGGAGGAGTGGGTGTTCCTAAGTAGGCTGGATTTGTATGCAGATCTCCCCAGGTAACACCGAGCCTCCATGCTTGAAAGAACTGAAATCCAATGAATGAAAGGGGTAGAACAGTAAGGCTGGGAAGGAGAGGGCTAGTTGATGCTGGACATCCTCCAGCCAGGAAATTAGGAGGGCCCTAACTTTGCTGCAGCATTTCATGCAAACTGTGGGAGGCTCACAGTGTGCAGTGAAATCAGAGTAAATAATTTCAGTACCAGGGAGGAGGTTGTACAACAATGAAGGGAGGCAGGGTTCAATTTGAACGGTTTATGTAATTTATGTAGGCCTTTTCAACAGGACAAAGATACAGTTGAGAAATGCACTAAACCCACAACAACCAACCAATCAAAGATGATTTGAGAGCATTAAGAGCAGTCCTGCGGTGTGACTTTTAAAATTATTCTAGAATTTAGAAATAGTCTATAACACTCATGTGAATTGTAAGGACGTTTGGAACTTAAGCCAAAATAAAATGTATAATAAAGAAGATCCAGATCTACCAGTAGCAGTGTAGAAGCTATAGGCACATCTTGGGAACTCCCCCATGTCCTTTAATACCCTTGGTCTACTTTGATGTACATCACACAGCTATTACTACATCTATTATGGCTGTGATGTCATTTCCTATTCAATCATCACTGGCATTCCTATAGAGTGAAATCCTCCATCCCTATCACAGCTCCCTGGTTGGCCCATCTAGATCATCGCACCTTGGTGTCTGTTAGGCCTCCTCGCCCCTATCAAGTCTACTTGGTTGGTTCATCTAGATCATTACACCTTGGTGTCTATTAGGCCTCCTCGCCCCTATCAAGGCTCCTTGGTTGGTTCATCTAGATCATTACACCTTGGTGTCTATTAGGCCTCCTAACCCTTATCAAGGATACTTGGTTGTTCAATCCATGGCATTACATACTGTAACCTCCTCTACCCATGCTCCTCAGTGTCTTTTAGGTCTCCTCCTCCCCTATGAAAGGCTACCTGGTTGTTTCATCCATAGAATTACATACCATTAACCTCTTTTACCCATTCCTTTTTGACATTTAAGTATCCTCCATCCCTATCACGATTACCTGGTTGGTTCATCCATATCATCACATACTGTTAACCTCTTCTACCCACATTTCTCAGTGTCTTTTAGGTCTCCTCCACCCTTATCAAGGCTACCTGGTTGGTCCATCCATATCATCACATACCGTTAACCTCTTCTACCCACGTTCCTCAGTGTCTTTGAGGTCTTCAAATTACAATAAAAATCTTGGTGTCATCCCCTGCCATCACCCTTTCAGTCCTATTTAGTAATCAGTGCAAAGACTGGTGCTCTACACAGTACAAAGGACCCAGAGCAACCTAATCATGGGTCGGATGCCTAAAAAAATTAATTCAGGCTGCCCTTCTCATCATTGAATATGGCTACAAGTTTTACCGGGACCCAGTTACAGTTATGTATTACCCCAACGAAACTCTACCAACACATTTATTCCATAGGCCATATTAGGTTCTTCTCCAAGGAGAGAGATCTCTCTCTCTTTCCTGTGGAAAATACGATTGCCTTTTTCCCCACTGAATAAGGCTACAAGTTTTACCGGTACTCAATTATGGCTATGTATTACTCCAATGACAATCTACCACCAGTACCCAATTACAGTTGTGCATTACCCCATTTACAATCTATCACTGGTTCCCAATTACAGCTGTGTGTCACCCCATTGACAACTATATTTATCCTAAAGGCCATTATATGTTCCTCTTGAACACAGGGGACCTCTTTCCCATAGAAAACCTTATTGTCCTTTCCTCCGCCGAATAAGGCTACAAGTTTTACCGGTAGCCAATTATGGCTATGTATTACTCCAATGATAATCTACCACCGGTACCCAATTGCAGCCGTGTATTACCCTATTTACAGTCTACCACCGGTACCCAATTACAGATGTGTATTACCCCATTGACAACCATCCTCTACATTTATTCCAAAGGCCATTATATGTTCCTCTTGAACACAGGGGACCTCTTTCGCATAGAAAACCTTATTGCCCTTCCCTCCACTGAATAATGCTACAAGTTTTACCGGTAGCCAATTACAGTTGTATTAACCCACTGACAATCTACCACCGGTACCCAATTACAGCTGTGAATTACCCCATTTACAATCTACCACTGGTACCCAATTACAGCTGTGTATCATCCCACTGAAAACCATCCTCTATATTTATTCCAAAGGCCATTATATGTTCCTCTTGAGTGCTAGAGACCTCTTTCCCAGAGAAAACCTTATTGTCCATCTGTGTATTTCTAAAGATTAAACCTTTCAAGCCATCCTTCCCTACAAAGACATACAATCCTCCCCATTTCTCACCTGCAGACAGTGAGCAAATTTTTCCTCTCCACAGCAATGTTCCTTGAAGAAGCCTTCTTAGATGGCAAGCCTAAAGCCATGGCCGACTGGATGAAGCTTGGTTCCATAAAAACTGCTCAAATCCCACAAAGGATTGCCTACCTCCACCAGCAGGCCTGCAGGCTCCTCTCCAGCAGCCAGGACCCCTCCCCACCTCCTCCTGCAGGCCTGTGGCTCCGATAGTCCTCCTATGGGCTATCAGGACGGATGGATGGATAGATGGATGGATGGGAAGGATGGGATATGAGAAGCTGCCGCTCTCCCTGGTGCTGAAGCTGAGACACAGCCAAGTGACGTCACCCAGCCTGTGAAAGAGCATGGAAGGGAATATAGAGGAGGAGGGTGGAAAGGATGGAGGGAGGGGGTGAGACAGCTCAGGTTAGTGATGGAGTCATGTGACAGAACAAACAAAAACCTTACAATGGGCACAAGAATCAAAAGGATGCTACAGGGAATACAAATTATATCTAGACAGCAACAGAGTACAACATGGAATCCCTGCACACACTTCATTGACTCTTCTTCTACCAGACAGTTTTAGCTCAAATGATGAATTATTTATACAGATGCATTTTGTTTCTTGAAACAGCCAGCTTTGATATGTAGATCTCTCTTAATTAAGATTATGTTTTGCATAGATTTCTCCAATTAAAAGTCTAAAATTAAAAATTTCATAAAATAAAACGTAAAACAATTTAATTAAAGGCAATAAGCAAAATGCAGCGAGTCATAGAAAATCAGAGTTCACTCTTCTTGCAGAGAATTTAAATCACAATCAGCTTTATTGGCCAAGTGTGTACAAGGAATTTGTCTTTGGTTGGTTGCCAGGAGATATTGCACTTTACGTGTCTTCATTTTACTTTTTGTTGCCTTATTAAAATTAACCATCATGCAGTTTAAAGTCATGGTTTACAACCATACGGAGACTAATTCTTTGAAAATCTTGCATGCCCCAACAGAAAAAAAAATATATACAAATAATATTTTTTTAAAATATATATATAATACTTTCTGTTGCCTTATTACATTAACCATCATGCAGTTTAAAGTCATGGTTCACAACCATATGGAGACTAATTCTTCCAAAATCTTGCATGCCCCAACAGGAAAAAAAATATATATACAAATAATATTTTTTTAATTTTTATACACACACACATATATATATATATATATATATATATATATAGATATATATATATAGATATGTATTGAAATTCTGAAAGTTTCTGGATGGGGGATGAGATTTCTGGAGGAAGATGGGGACGTCTCTGAAGAGGGATGGGGGTCTTGCATGGTCAGTGTGAGAGTGGAGGCTGCTGTGGGTCTGGAGGCTCTGAAGCATGCAAGGGGACGCTATGGGAGGTTGGTGGGCTCTGTGGAGGCTGGGAGTTGTGGGACTCTATGGGAGATAGGGTGGTACTATGGAGCTGGAAGGCACTGTGGGAGCTTAGGAGATCTACAGCAGGCTGGAGGCCTGGGAGGATGGAGGTAGTAGCCTGTCAATGGGTTATGGCCACTACCGGGACAGGGTTGTTCAGTGCCCAGGGCAAGATTCTAGAATTGTTCCCCCCTCCCCCACTGTTAGTACATGCCATAGAATGGGTGTACCACCCTGTGTCTGTTCTTTGCCTGCTTGCTTTTCTACACCTGGGGCAGCTGGCATCCCTTGTCCCGGCCCTGGTCAAGGCACAGTTTAGAGAATATGAATTGAGTTATAAAAGAAAGCGTATATGAAACATAGGACATGTATAAATGAAAGCATATGCTCATAAATTTTTTTTTTTTGGGGGTCATGGGATTTATCAGGAGCCCAGCAGAAAGACACCTCCTCCCCTCCCAGTCTTCCACGCTACTCTGTGTTATCCAGAGTCATAGCAAGGAGTTTGAAAGTCCATTGGACATACTGGAGATGGAAAAGTTGCTTGAAATTTTGCATGTGGCTACATTGTGTAAGAGGTTGTTTATATGAGTGGCACTCTACTGCCCCTCTGAAACGTGATTCATGGTGGATTGCTTTTCAGAAGGTGGTAGGGCAGTGGCTGCCAGGCATTCAGTAGGGAATACTACCAGTTTATTTTTTTCTCCAGCCAAAGGGGAATTTTCTATTGAAATACAGTGACCCCCCCCCCCCCCCCCCTGAATGAGTTGCATCTGACGGAAATACTGCAATGGTGTGTACCAATATGGCCGCCAGCCATATTAACGTGTAGCTTGGCAGTCTGCTTACATCGTTCTTTGATAAAGCAACACTTTATCAAAAGTAATTTAGTTTATGTTTACATTTACTTTAAGGGCTGTATTTAACAAAAAAAAAAAATGCTGCAGAGCTATTCACCTTGGAAAACTGCATGCATATGTGTTCTGTGCGAACAGTAGCAGAATTGAATGCCATTTCCTCTCCGGGTCGGGGGCTCTTCACTCATTGGAATCAGAAACAAAACACACACACAATATATCTATCTATCTATCATCTAGTGGCCTTAATGCAAAGAAGAAAATAATATATATATTATAATAAGAAAATAAAAAATATATATATATATATATATATATATATATATATATATATATATATATATATAGTTAAGGCCACTAGATGGAGCTATTTCCTATGATCATTAGCGCCATCTAGTGGTGATCATGTGATATTTTCACTCTGTTCTTAAGAGGAACATTCAACCTGGAGTGAAAATAGCCTTGTAGCATTCGATTGTGCCCCCATTCACACAGAGTAAATGACATGCAATTCCCAGGATAAATAGCTCTGCATTTTTTTTTTTTTATAAGTACACCCCAAAATGCAAGCATTTACCTATAGCCTGTCACCCATACCAACCAAGTGAGCTTACGACTATTAGGGTTATTTCTGATTGGTTGCTTTTGTAATTTAAATTTATTTGTATTACATTAAAAAGCACCACTGTACAAGATGCCCAACAAAAATGTGAGAGGCATGTATTACAATTTCTGATAATATGTCTGCGTGGAAGAATTTGGAGAGGGAACACCCAGCACTGAACAAGCTGTTTTACTCTGATAATATCGGAGGCACAAAGTTTCCAGCATCCAATCAGAATGTCTGGACAGGATTCAAATGAGTCAAATCACATGGTATATCTGAGTATAAGGTACAAAAAAAAAAAAAAAAAAGTCAAAGAAAAAAATAGAAAGATCTGTAAAGCAGAGTGTACAAAATTCTCCATTTCTGGCATTGTTATAGCTGCTGTACATTTGGGAATACATTAAATCTTTGATATTTTTGCTAGGAGGGCCAACTCTGGTCTTTTTTTTTTTTTTTTTTGGACACTGTTGAAGGATTTTTAGTGCCATCTGGGACTCAGTTGAGAGAGTTCACATCACTTCCTGTCCCGGTGACAACAGTTTCACCATACAGAAAGGGAGGGTAAATCTTTCAACAGCAGAGCAAAGTAAAAAAATAAAAATTTTTTTTTTTTTGTTTCAGTAGAGGAAGTTTAGAACTTCTTTGTGGTTGCCAGGGTCAAGGTCGTAAATTTTCCCTCGCTTCTTGGCTGGTAAAAGGCAAAGCTTTAGATAGCAGTAAAACCCAACAGAGGTTCTAATCCTCACCACTGATCCAGAACTAGAGGAGAACGTTTTTGCGCCCAGCCCCAGCATCCCTTTAACTAGGTTATTACACCCAGAAAGGACTGCTGGATCAGGTGACCACTGATTGGTTTTCACAGTGGTCCCTTGATTGGGAGCCGGTCCCACAGACTCCTGATCATTACTGGAGACCAGAAGCCATCTATGACTTTTTCTTTTTTTTTGCCCCTTTTAGATAAAACAGTTTTCTCCTGTGTTCTTTCATTGTTGCATCTCGGTGCTGCTGATCTCCTGCCGCCTCTTTGCAACCACCTCCTGCAGACACGACATCCTGGGAGAGCAGCTTATACAGTGATGAGCAATTGTATGGCTTCCATAGATGCAGGATAAGGGGGGGTTACTGAGGATTGCATTCTTCATACAGAACAAGAAAACTGGTAGTAGTAGGAAATCTCAGGGAGATTTGTACATCATGCAGGGTGAGAAGGGTAAAAAAAAAAAAAAACAAAAAAAAAAAATCAACAAACAAAAAAACAAAACAAAAACAACAAAACAAAAAAAAAAAAAAAAAAAATAGTGCAACGCGATGAATTTTGGGTGAGTTGACTTGGCTGCTCCTGCCTATAGCTGCAAGGCATTCCTCAGGGTCATATGGTCAAATTGTGGCCCCAGGGCCACATCTGGCCCTTGATGTCTCCACTGCCAGCATGCCTCTCTGAGCCACCCGTTTTTACAACCGCTAGGAATAAGTATGACCAAATTTCATACTTATTCCTAGCCCCAGGCATTTTTTTCTATAAGTTTTGCAATTTAAAGATCTTCCAAGATTTAAAATTAAATATTGAGCAAAATTACATTTGGGCCTCCTTAATAGTCTCCATATCTGGCCCCTTGAGAAAATTAATTGCCCATCTCTGCTCAGGGTGGTTTTCCTGATGGTAACAATGGACCTTGTTTTTGCAATGATCTTTGGCACAGCCAGTTATAGTCTCCATTGAAAGCCAATGCGACAGGGTGACAACGTAGGAGAAAAACTGAGAGACAGTTTAGAGTGTTGTCATCCTTTAACAGAAGTACCTGAACAAGGATCCGCATGCCAGACAGTAAAAAGCTGCAGATTAACCACTTCCAGACCGGACACTTTTACCCCCTTCCTGACCAGGGCAATTTTCAGCTTTTAGCGCTATCACACTTTGAATGACAATTGCGCGGTCATGCAACACTGTACCCAAATGAATTTTTTACCATTTTTTTGAGATAGATAAAGCTTTATTTTGGTGGTATTTATTCACCACTGGGATTTGTATTTTTTTTGCTATGTAAATGAAATGTCCAAAAATTTTGAAAAAAAGTGGTTTTTTTATAAAATTTTGCAAATAAATAATATTTCATCATAAATCTTAGCCAAAATTTATTCCGTTATCTTTTTAGTAAAAAAAAAATCCAACTTAGTTTATAAGCAAAAATTATAATTTTTAAACATTTTTTTTTACATTTTTAT